CCTCATTGGTCTTTACTATAGTGTCTTCTTCTCAGTTGCTCAGCGCTGATGTGTTCAAACCCGAGGACATCATGACCGGAGGACCGAAGGACGGCGACACCGAGGAGGTACGGCTCGGTTCTGTGTGATGACACTCGGCTGTTCCTGCTCCACTCACTCACTCAGTCTCTTCTGTTTCTTATTCGTCTTCTCGGAACTGAATTTCCAACTTCGGGAGTTTTTTTTATCTGTGTTGGCACCGAGTCATGAACTCATGTCCAGGTGTCGAGGCTTCACTGCTCAAACATCAACGACCGAACAGTCTTTTACAGGAAGAGGTCGCAGAATCTGCAAATACAAATGTCGTTCATATTTATTTGTATTTAATATGTAAATACATTTTATTCTAGTACTAAATAATTGCTGTTGTATTTAGACAGTGACCTGAGAGACTCAGATTCGGTGGATCTGGGATTTTACGCACAGAAAAATAAAAGTCTTGTTGCTTCATCATTGAACTAACATTAACCACCAGGACCAGATTATTTGATCTAATCCCAAAGAGAGAACTCTTATTTGGAGTTGAACGGACTCCATTTCTCTCCGGTGGTGAGGACCCCTTGCGGCTGGTGAGAGGGGTGTGGTGCTGCACTTTCTATTCATTTAAACCCATCCCTGTTTGTGGGACAGGCTGGTGAGTCGGCCCCCCCCCCCCCACCCCGCCCCTCTCTCTCTCTCTCTCTCTCTCTGAGCGCACTGCTCTCTACCCCAGCCTCCTCCTCCTCCTTCTCCTTCTCCTCCTCCTCCTCACAGTCTCTCTCTCTCTCCTCCGGATCCTGACAGGAGTTTCTGCGTTCGCCGTTCATCCGAAAACAAGGGAACATTTACAAACCCAACAACAAGGACATGGACAACGAGAGTCTGAACGAGAAGACGATGGAGGACTTCCACACCAAAGAGATCGACCTGGTCAACCGGGACCCCAAACACATCATCGATGACGTGGTCAAGGTAGGTCAGACCTGGAGGAACATGTGGGGAAAACTTTAGTCCATTTTTGATTCACGAGGTTGATAGATTTGAACTTTACTGCCGCTTCTGCCGCTACCGCTGCCGCTGCTGCCGCCGCTGCCGCCGCTGCTGCCGCTGCTGCCGCGTGCGCCTTTACGCGGCCAAGACGCAGACGGACCTCCTG